CCTCCCTGCGGGCCGGGGAGGCACCGAGGACCAGGCCCAGACCGGATGCGAGGTCCAGCTCGCCACGACCAGCTTTGTGGCCCGGACTCAGACCCTGCCTGTTTCCTTTTTTGCAAGTTGGGATACCAGTCCCTGCCTTACAGGGTGAATTCAGGGACCACACTTAACATAGTCCCCAGCTGTTCCCACTCAGCGGGAGTCTGCGCCTCACCTGCCGCCCCTCAGAACAGCCCCTCACACCTGCCTTCGCCACGGGGCGATGGGTGCTGCCCGACGTGGGCGCCGCCCGCCTCCTCCTTTGAAGAGGGCCTTCAGCTGCTCCTCCTCCCCCTCGTTCGTGAGCTCAGCCGACCTCCTCCCGACAAGCGGATGCCAAAATGGAGCGGGAGAAGCCTCAGATGGGGGGGATCAGCAGCGTGGTTCTGGTGGAAAAGATGCAGTCAACGAAAACCCTGAAGGGCCTGGTCAAGAAAAAGGAGAAGCCAGGGGTAGGTGTGGGGACAGCTGGGCGGACTGGGAGAGAAGCTAGGAGGCCGCCGGGGCCTCAGGCCACTGGCCAGCCCCTGGACGTGGGGCTTTCACTTCGCCCCCCCGCAGGAAGTGGTTAAGGAGAAGTCGCCCACACAAGGGACCCCTAAGAAAGAAGACGCGGCGAAGCCCGGCAAGGGCAGTAAGTGCACACACCCTGCGCAGAGGAGGTTAAAGCCGTGGGCCCCGCTCAGGCCTCTCTTCGGGGCGCAGTGGCTGACCTCCCTTCCACTGCCGGGACCCCAGAACTGGGCCAAGGGGCCCGCCTACCCAGCTGGGGCCTTGCGGTTGTTACCTCCAAACCCAAAGCTCGGCGTCTGCTAGCCCACCTTGCCCATTCTCCCCGGGAGCCCGGGCGGTGTCCAAGGTCTGCACTGTGCCTTCCGGCCCCCTTCTGGCCAGAGGTAACCATCCCCGAGCAGAAGCCGAGCAGGGGAAAGGGGGCCAAGCCCGGGAGCAAGGAGAAGCGCAGCATCCTCCTGGAATCCGAGGTGAGTGGCCGAGGGGCGGGAGAGGCTGTGGCAGAGGCCATTTTTTCTCACATTTTGCCCTCCATCCTGTTCCCACACCTGAAAAGCCCTCCACCCCAGCCCGGGCTTGCGGTGGCAGCAGCACTCAGCCCTTCCCTGCCCTCCTAATGTGGACGAGTCCTCCTCCCCGTCCTTGTCCTGTAGCCCACACTTCGGATCTGCTGCCCCAATGGAAGCTGCTTCTCCGAAGGCCACCAGCTCCGCTGTTGGCTCGGACAGTTGCACAGGAACTGTGTCTTTTCTCAGCCCTCGGAGCAGCTGCTCAGGGCAGGTTTTAGCTGTGGCCCCTTCAGAACTTTTCTTGCCTCTGCATCTTCTTTCCTGCTCAGCTTGGCCCAACCTGCTCTGTGCTCCGAAATCTGCCTGGGGTGTCGACTTCACACTTCCAGCTCTGTCCTGTCTGCCACCAGGGCTCTCTCTGTGTCCTCCTGTTTTTTTGTCCTCTCCCACCACCCCGGCCCCGCTGAAGCCTCCCAGGCAGGGAAGGTCCCATCCACTGCAGGAGTCTCCCCGGTTCCCCAGACAAGCTCTTGGAGCGGGAAGTCGGAGGGAGAGCCACTGTGGCCTGTCTTGAGCAGGCTCCTTCTCGCCAGCCCTTTCTCCCGTGCCTTCACTGTCCCCTGGCCCGTCCGCTCTCACTGCTTCCAATTCCGTGTGCTGCGTCCAGCCTGCAGAGCCTTTGCAGCTGCCGCATCCTGTGCCTGAATCCTGTCCCCTCGCTGAGCGTCAGTAGCTTCACGCTGCAGCTCACAGGCCCGTCCTCCAGCTGTCCCCATGCCCAGATGGGGACCGAAGCCCCCCACCCCACTCCATAGCATTCGCAGCTCACCTCTGCCATCCTGAGTGCCTAATTCTCTGCGCCCACACACCCAGACACTTCTGGAGGCCTGTATGGGCTATCTATCTTTGTGTCCCCAGCACCTAGGACAGATCCTGGACTCTAGCCTGCATGCAAAATATGTATGTTGAATAAACGAATGACTGGCCTGCTGAGCGGCTCCCTTCTCCTCTGCTGCACTGTGTTCTGCTTTAGCAGCTGGTTGCAGAAGCTACAGAGATGATCAATCCCCTCTTGGAACCCATGGAGCACCGTGAGGGGAAGGTTTTCATGCCTGGGAACAAGGTCCTTCTGCACCTGAACCTCCTCGGTAAGTCTGCCAGTCTCCCCTGTCCCACCCGCAGTTCCGGTCAGGCGGGTGCCTATGTCTGCCTCTTCTGTGGTTGGGCATCACGTCAGAGGCTGGGGCTGAGGACAGGAGACAGATGGGGACGGGTGAAGTGGGAACAGGAAGCAGTCAAGGAGTTGGGATGCGGTGGAGCAGGCTGTGACAGGCCACCTCCTGCCACCAGGAAACTGCATCACAGAGGTGGGGCTGGAGGGCTTCCTCACAGCAGTGCAGTACCAGGCACAGTTCTCCAAGCCCAAGAGTGCATCCAAGGGCCCTGTGGGGCTGCTGTGGCTGTCCCTGGCGGTGAGTCCCTCTCCCCTCTGCTGTCCCATTTCTGAGGTGGGTCTTCAGCCCCATTTTTTTTCTTAAATTACAACGTAAGCTGTGTTCCTCTTTCCCTAAGGTAAGCAGCGATCCACTCCATGTCTGCTAGCCCCTAACGTGCCTGCTATAGGGTATCTGCTTTCTTAGAGGACTTATCTTCATTCCTGTCAGCTGCCAACCTTTCTTTTCTTCCTCTAGAAAAACTCCTTCGACCCACAATGTCCCATGTATGCCATGATCCAGGAGCTGTTGCTACCAAAGGACCCCGTCAAGGTCAAGCTCAGGGACGAGGAGGCCCAGCCTTTCTCTACCTAGCCCCTCCCACCTTACGGACGGACGGAGGCTCTGGGCCACAGATGCGTCTCCTGTTGTCATCGTCTGTGGGGATGCCCAGTGAGACCTCGACCAGGCACACTTTTCTTTGAGGGTGTTTGAAAAGTTTGTTCCACACTTGATCCCTTCACATTACACGGTCAGAAGCGACAGTCTGGATCACTTCACTGTTCAGCTGCCAGGGCACTGCCCCTCTGCTGGCTGCCCAGACCCGTCAGAGGTACTGAGCTGGCCCCATCCCGAACCCCATCTGGCCCACCTAGGTGTCTGACGAGCACGGAAGGGGCCAGGGCTGTTAAGGAAATACGCTCTGAAGAGGGCACGAAGGGTCTCAGCACCTACATGGCAAGACTAGTGCTGTCAGCAGTCTGAGCCCAGCCCTGCCCCACCTTGGCCTGGGACCCCTCAGGGTCCACTATGGCTCAGGACCCCTGGTTTCCCTGGCTTCCTGTCAGCCCCACCCACGTCCTCCCGGAGCTCCTGTCCTCACCCTTGGCGATGTCGCTATGTCTGAGGCAGGGGTGCTGCCAGGCCTGCATGAGCCCGCACCTCGCAGTCCTGTGCAGCCGCCACCCGCGGGCTTTTCCTGAGGTCCCTTTGTTGCTGTGCAAACTGAGGGCACTGAGTTTCCTAGCTCACTCCCATCCCCTTTGGCAAGCACACCCCTGAAGGTCTGGGAAAGGACCTGGTGAGACCGGGCGCCCAGGCTGTGGCCTCAGGAATGGTATTGGTCAGCATCTCTTGGCACCTTGGTCCCAAGAATCACACATACCACAATGGAAGAATATTTAACTTTTTTTTTTTTAAAAAAAAAAATCTTAACCATGAAAGGAAGAAAATAAGGGTATACATTATCTTAACAGCTATATATATATATATATACACCTTGCACAGTGTGTATATTCTAGTCTTCGGTGGGGCTGGAGCGAGGAAAGGACGATGCCCCAGGCTGTGGTGGCCCCAGGGGTGGTCCTGGGTTAGTTAATCCAGGGACTCCAGCATTCCAGTCCCCTCCCCTCCTGGGGTCCATCTTCAGTGCCGTACCTGCTACTCGGGTCTCTCTAGGGCAGGCAGGGAGGGAGGACACAGAGGGTGCCCTGACCCCTGTTGACCGAGGGTCCTGCAAGTCCTCGGAGATGCGCAGCTCCGCACCGGGCCAGAGGAGGGGCCAGGAGGCCTCCTGACAGCACAGGGCCAGTCCGGCCTGGCTCCTGCAGGCCCCGAGCCTGGGCCAGTGACAGCCCTGCCCTCCCCTAGCGGTCCTTTTTGTAACTACCTCCAGCACCCAGGGATAGAAACAGAAAGGTCAAGGTATTTACAATAGCAAAGATGCACATACAATACATACATATTTATAGGAAGCCAAAGTGACCGAGGGGAGACACCCAGCTTGGCCTGGGGTCCCGAGGAGAAGGAGAGGAAGAAAGTGCATTTACACCACAGCCGCCGCCTCCTGCACGCAGGGCGCTGGGCGGGCTATGTGGGGCAGGGCCTTGCACGTGCGCTCAGCATGCTAGGGAGGCGGAGGCCCTGGAGGGCTGGGCCTGAGGGAGGGAAGGGAAGACAGACCAGACTTCGCTCTGTGCAGACCCAGCAACACGCGGGGCTCCCCGGGCCTCAGCTGCACCCGCTTCCCCACTGCCCGGTCCACAAGGAGTCTGGGGTCTCCTGCCTGCGCCTCTGCCTCTGCCTCAGGCTGGTCCCTGCCGGAGAAGTGGGGACGCACGCACAGGATCTGGCTGTCACGGTGGCTACAGCCCTGGTGACAGGGGTGTGTCTGCAGCGCTGTCTTCCCGAGGGGCGTCACAGCCTGTGAGGGAACAGCGGGGTGAGGAGATGGCCGTGCCTGTGCTGTCTAGAAAGCCCTGAACAAGGCTGGGTACTGAGCCCCACTTCTGTTCTGTCAGCCCCCACACCCTTAGATCACGTAGGCACGTGCTCTGTCTTTCTGAGTGAGGACACAGCTGTGTCCCTGAGCCACTTCACTGGTTCTGAACATTTAATAAGGACAGGCTGTCGGTGTGAGGCCAGGCTCCCTCTGGTGCACAGTATGTGCAGCACAAGGAAAGAGGGTTCAATTCGGGGGCCATCTTTGGCGGATCTTCTGTGGGTGTCTTGAAAAGATCACTTTCTGGTGCTGAGGAAGTGAGCGCTACTCATCAAGGACAAAGAAGACGCTCAGCGCCGGAACCTCCTCCCTCAGGGAGGCACAGCAGCCGCTTCACTCACCGTCCTCAGGGTGGGACTCCAGCGCACAGCTGTCCCGGGGGTCAGAGGCCAGGGCTTCCTTGGCTGGAGGGGAGAGGAAGCCATCTGTCCACCTGGGTGTGTCTGTGTGGAAAGTGCCCACGGGTGTGGTGCCACCAGAGGACTCTCCACCAAGGGATCGGAGTAGCTCTCTGTGGGCCAGCTCCATGTCCTGCAAGAGTCAGGACGGTCTGCTCAGGTTCCTTCGCTCACAGGCCCAGCTGTGCCGCCTGGGACAGGGCTGTGAGGTCAAGGTGGCTGGGGGCAGAGGCCAGGTCTAGGGCTCCCACGGGCACCTCACTTTGGGGGAACGGTCCTGGGTGACAGGATGCACCCAGGACTCCCCCTGTGTCCCTCACCTTGAGCCTGTTGAGTTTGAGGGTGAGCTGCTCGATGGTGCGGAAGATCATGCCCACGTCCCTGAGGGCCAGGCCAGGGGCAGAGTGGCTGGGGAGTCTCGGATCTCCACTGCCTGTTTGTGGCTGGGGGTGGCCTGGGGGTGCCCCTAAAGGGTCGGTGCTGGAGTCCACTGGTCCTGCTGGCATGCTGACATAAAAACAGTTCCCTGTTCCCATGAGGAGAGAGAGGGCGGGAGAGCGATCAGGAGGCGAGCAGAGAGACACCGAGTCCCCTCCCACGAGGTCACCAGCAGGCAGGATGGGCAGGGCAGCCTTCTCTGACCAGTGTGAGCCCGCGGGCCGCACGTGCACCCAGCTCTTCCCTCAGCTTGGCCACATGCCAGGGAGGGGCAGTGAGAGGATGGACGGGAGGGGCAGGTCCCATCTGGGTAGCCGCCTTGAAGGGAGGGAAGGGAAGACTGGGCAGGTTTCAGGCCCTACGGAAGGGGCGGCGGTGGCGGCAGCAGTGTCATCCACGCTGCCACGGGTGTCAGTGTCTCAAGTGTCACAGCGGAGGGAGGCCAGAGCCAGGGAGGAGGACTGGGGTCCGAGAGTACGGAGGGCTCCACAGTGGCCCTGGAGTGGTGCCTGCTCAGCGTACCAGGTTAAGGGCCGCGGCTGGCTGCTGTGCCTCCCCTCACAAGGGGCACAAGCTCTGAAAGGGGCCACACACTCCCAAACGGCGGTTTTCAAAAGCTACAGGTTGGACTGTGGTGCAGGGTCTCCACCCACTCCAGACAGCTGAGGATCCCAGCGCACCTGCATCTAGGCAAGGTCTGAGGACCCAGGCCCAGCTCTGCCCCGGGCCCTGCCTGGCTTTGGCTAAAGGAGAAGCTGATTACCCGCAGCCTTTGTTCCGCCTTCCACTTCGGGTGGCTCAGGTTCTGACTGGCCACTCTCGGGCAGTGCAGGGACAGCTTTGCTGCCTGCCATCTCAGCTGCACCGACACCACCACCACCAGCGAGAGGAGAGGCCAGAAGACAAGGAAAGGGAAGGGAACAAGCAGGGAGGACGAGGAAAGGGAGGGGTGGCAGAAAGAAGAAGGGGAAGAACACTGTGAGCGTAAGATCACACACGGTCACTCCTGGGAGCTGAGGAGAACTTTCCACCACTTCACCGAAAGACAGAGGGAAGAATGTCAGTTCCCAGAAACCGGAAGTGGGCACACCTCAGGCAGACGGGGAGAGGCAGCATGGGGCGCGGAGGGGACAGGAAGCCCCTGTGGCGCCAGCGTGGAGTGGAGCCCACCAGCCTCCCGTGCCAGCTTTCGGCGTCTTTGCCACCCACCACTCTTCGGACCCGCTCTCCGCCTGGCGTGAGCTGCCCTTCCTGTCACCTGTTCCCTCAGGCACAGGCCCTCCCCCGCTTTCCTCGGGACTTGAAGGGTGGTGAAGAACAGAGACTCAGTGGAAGCTGGTTTCTGCTGGGTGGCAGGAAATGTCCTCATGTTACAGAATGGAGCGCAGAGATGATCGCAACTTTGCTCAGGTCACGCAGACGTTCACAGCACAGCTAAGGCGCTGAACCTCAGCTGTCTGACTGCAAAGCCTTTGCATGGTGTGGATGCGCCTCCTTCCCCCAGAACCCAGTGCCCTCCTCTCCTCACAGAGTCCCCAGGATAAAGAGGGGGATGAGGCAGCCTCTACAAGACTCGCCTCTACCCCAGCAAAAGCAGTAGCCATTCCAAGGCATCTCACCTTTCCTCACAACTTTGTAACTTCCTGCTGCTTCCGCGCTTGAGGCCTCTTCCTCTGGATTCCTATCCAGCTCGGGAGACTCCCAGATCCCAGAATTCCGGGTCCTTGGGGGCAGGTGTGCTAGAGAGCGAGCTGCATCCTCCTGCTCTGGCTGGCCTCCCTCTGGACCCGGGAGCGGGGCACTGTCCCCATCACCTCTGGTGGGAGCCGGTCCTGGGGAGCCCGGATCCCAGGGGTGAGAGGTGACGCCGATGATGGAAGGCGTGGGTGTCAGGTCATCCTCAGGCTCTCCAGTGGCCTGAGTGTCTGTGCTGTGACCCGGCATCAGACTCCACAGGATCAGGTGTCGCAGGTTCTCCACTGGAGGGAGAAGGGTGACGCTGGCTTCCCCGGCACAGGACCTATGCTGCGCCGGGGTGGAGGGCTCGGGGAGGCCTGAGCTGGCCCACGGCAGGTGTCCACATCCGCCTGCCCTCAGGTATGACTGGGGAGAGCCTTGAGAAGGGGAGGCTGAAGCTCACACTGGCCACATACTTACCATCTTCCAGGGCTGAATCCGCCAGTCCTTCCATGAAGAGAGGACCTGGGAGGGCCAGGCTGATGGGGTCCCTTGTCCTGATGCCCCTGCTGTCTCCATTCAGGGTGTGGGAGGGGACAGGCAGGGCCTCCAGCTCCTCTCCCTCGGCACTGCCCTCCCCAGGCTCCTCAGGTGGCACTGGCTGCTTCACCTGGACTCTCTGCTGGGTCCCAGGGCCTGTTTCGAGTCAGAGGGGCTGTGAGGCAGGGTGAGGACACTTGTAGATGAACCCACACCCCTTCAGTGGATCCAGGGGCACTGTGTGCTAAGGTCTGCACAGGTTTACCAAGCACCTCCAGTGGCTGCCACCATCCAGGCTGTTGGCACACATCAAAGATGGGCAAAACAGACCCCTGCCTGGGGGTGGGGAGGGTGGTTTAAACTCTAGTACAGGGACACAGATAAATAAAAAGGTGGATGCCAGGCGTGATGGCCCACGCCTGTAATCCCAGCACTCGGGAGGCTGAGGCAGAAGATCACTGGGAGTTCGAGACCAGCCTGGGCTACACAGTGAGTTCCAGGTCAGTCTCAACTACATAGTGAGACCCTGTCTCAAAAAACAAAAAATAAACAAACAAAAAAAGGTGGATCATATAGTTTGTTAGAAGCTGAGAGCTGTGGGAAAGATGACAAAACAGCAGGGTATGAGGCACCAGGAATGCTAGTTAAAAAAAAAAAAAAAAAAAAATTTTTTTTTTTCTTTCTGGTACCAGGCCTCAAACTCAGGACCTTGCGCTTGTGAGGCAGGTGTGGCTCCCTTGAGCTGTATCCCCGGCCCTTGGTCACCATATCAAATGATGTGGTTGGAGGGGACTCAGAGCGGGACTGCAAGGAGGTATGGAGTTGGCAGGAAGAGCATTCTACGCAGCACACCAAGAGGGGCCCAGCCAGGGAGGCCAAGATTCCCTCCAAACCGTCTAACTCCCTAACATAAAAACTCCCAGGAGAAATCTGAGATGCCCACTTCACCCGCCCTGGCAGCTTCCTCCACTGATCTCCCTGTCAAGTGAGCTTTCTGCCCACCAGTCTGTCCTCAGTTTAGGCTCTTCCCGCTGTTTCCGGCCTGCTCATCCCGTCAGGACCTCGGCTCCGGCCGGATGGATGCCCTGTCACCCTGCGTCCCCCCTGACCTGAGGCAAGAGCGGAGCAGCGGGCCATACCTCCAGGCAGCTCCTCAGGCTCGGCCCCGCTGTGGAACACTTCCGAGTCGTCCAGGCCTATCCTGAGGGGAGAAACCGCTGTGGTGAGAGGCGGCCGGCTGCTGCCAGTTCTGCTGCCACAAAAGGCCACTGCAGACTCAGAACAAGCAGGGTAATGAGAAAGCAGCTTCCAAGAACGCAGGGCCGGACCTCTTCACCCGCCTGGTCGGGACAGGGTGGGCGGGTGCCCCCATTCTGTGCCCAGCTCTACTTCAGGCGGTCTCCGTTAGGGCAGCCTGGTGGGAGGCCACGGGGGTAGGGACAGAGCAAGAGCAGCCCGTTCCTCCGCCTCCCTGACCGCGTGCCCTGCCCAGGCTGCCCTCCAGGGGCGAGAGCCTGGAGAGCAGCAGGAAGCAGGCAGCTCGGGGTGGGGCTGGCACGGGCCGGAGGGCTCAGCACTGCACCTGCTGGAGGCGGGGCCCTGGTTAGCTGGCTCCTGGGGGCCTGCAGGCCGAGGCAGATCGGGCACCAGGGCAGCTCCGGGGTGCCTGGTGGCGTTGCGCACAGCCTCTTCCAGGAGCTCCATCCATCTGTTGCTTGGCAGGAAGAGAGGACTGTGGTGAGGCGCCCAGCTCGTCCCCCGAGCCACCCTGCTCCAAAGCTTTGAGTGCCCAGCTGCATCCGTGGACCCTCTGCCCAGCCGTTACCCACCTCCCTCGGTTCCCAGGCGGCTCCCCTGAGTTTGTAGGACTTGTAGCCACCAACTAGGGGACGGCCCTGGTAAGCCCTGCGCTAAGCACTCTGTGTGTCCCCCTTTGAAGCGACTCGGAGGTAGCACCACTGAAACCCTGCAGAGGACACTGCGGGTGGGAAGCCGCCCGACTCAACCCTTCTCCTTCTGTTGTGCCACGCTGCCTCATGGCAGGGGTGGGCAGTGCAGCGGGGGAGGAGGGCCTGGAAGGGTGCACAGACTCAACACGACTATTCCAGGACCCGGGTCAGGGTGGGACCGTCACCCACGGCTTCTCTACGCCTGTCCCTCACTTCCTTCCCAGCTCCTCGCCCAGGGACGGCTCTGGGGCCCAGCCTCGGCCTCGTGCCCGCCCGCCGTCTGCATACACACCACCCAGGTCCCAAAGGGACGGGGTGCGCAGGACCCCCCCACCAATTCTCACGTGTTCTTCTCTGAGGACGTCAGTGCGACCAGCTCATAGATCTGGGGCGGGCCCAGCTCCGAGGTGCAGATGATGAAGAAGGCCCGTTTGTCTGTGTGAAGGGACAAAACGGAGAGCGTCGACGGGGCTGGCAGATGTAACAGTGAGACCGGAAGGCGGAGTTAGGCATGGACGCACACCAGTGCGGGCTATCAGAACCACCGGAGACCCACTCACAGAGACAGGAAGTTCTGGACCGCCTCCTGTCACTGTCACAGAGGTCCCTCTGCCCTCCTGCTCTCGGGCCCCAGGCCTGATGTGCGTACGGTGCTTGGGTTTACAAATCTCTCTACTCCTGCTGTCCCTGGATGCCCACTCCGGAGGGGCAGGCAGCGCTGGGTCAGATGAAGTGGGAGAGGCCCTCGGCCCTCCACACTTCCCCACTCACCTCTGGCTGCTGCGCTTGGTCGGCACAGCGCTGTGGCCTTTCGTCTTCTGAGTACTCTGCCTGGGCGCGCGTGCTCGTGCAGAAGGCTTGTCTTCCTCTTCCTGCCCGTCCTATTTTTCCCAGCCCTGGGCACCCTACCGTCCCCTCTAGCACTGCCCTGAGGACTGAGCAGCGCACTCCACCTAAGCCGTCCTCGCCCCAGCTGCCCCACCCCCACCACTGTCCTGCTAGGCTGGGTCATGGGAAGGTGCATGGGGGACAAGGAGGTCCCGGCAGGCCCCGGTGGCTCTGCGTCAGGGCCGTGGACGTCTCCCCGTGGGTACCTGTGGCCACAGAGCGGATGAGCACGGCGTTGAGCTTGAGCACGGGGCTGAACGTCTGCTTGCTGTCGGCAGAGCCCACGGCCGTCTTGCTGTGGCACTTCAGCAGCAGCCGCTCGTCCTGTCTCTGCAGCAGCACCAGCAGGTCCTCCAGCAGCAGCACGTGGAGGTCTGGGGGCGAGGTGGAGCCTGCTGCACCAGGGATGCCGGCGTGGCCCTGGGAGTCCTTTCTCTCGTGCTTAAGGGTCCCCGAGCTACCGTCAGAGTCTTGTCCTAGTGCCCCCGCTACCCCAACATCCCTGTGGGGCCACAGCTTCCGGGGTTTACACCACAGACGCCTCAGTGCCTGGTGGTACATACCCAAGGTCTTATCCTTGCTGATCCTCCAGGTCAGGGGCCCCTCGTGGATCATCTTCCTGCTTGTGAGATCCAGGCTCTGTAAGGAGACAGCACTGCTCGTTCACACGGGTGCCTAGGGACCTACTGTGCGCTGGGGATCGGCAGTGAAGAGGGGAACAGTCTTCCTTTATGCTCTCATGGGGGACACAGCGAAGTAAGAAGGCAACTACGAAGCTGCGCGCGGTGGTCTGCCGGGCTCTGGCCTGGTCTCCCTCCCAGCTTCCCCCACATGCCCGTCTCCCCAAGGGGCCACTCTCCTGCTCGCTCCCTCCTGCCTTCATTGCTACCCCTGCCCAAAGGATCATCCCCTTTGCCGTAACTCCCTCCCCACGCTCTGCTCTGGCATCCACCTGCCTTCACCTGGAGAGGCGTCTGCTCTGCCCGTCCAAGGACAGTGCTGACGATGACGGCCCGTCTCCTACCAGAGACTCTGCAGGCCCCCACTAGTTCTGCCCTAAGGGTGCCGAAGAAGGGTGTGTGGTGTGTGTGTGTGCGTGCATGCGTGTGTGTGTGCGTGTGTGTGTCTGTCTGTGTGTCTGGGCTGCGGGTTCTGACTCCTACCTTGAACTCTGCGGCCAGGGCGTTGCTGGCCCGCTCCAGGGCGGTGGTGTCCAGGCGTTTCTGGTAGCCCTCCAGCCGGTGCCGGTTCTCGGTCTGCTTCACTGCTTCATTCACGAACTTGAGGATCTCCCGGCACTGGTCTCGGGCTCGGCACAGCTTCTCATGCTCTGCAGTAGCAGCTAACAGACAGCACGGGGGCAGTGGTTAGGGTTCCCTCAGCCAGACGCACTGCAGTCCACTGCTCCCTCACAGCCGTGCAGGTGCGGAGGTGAGCCGGCTCGCCTCACCGGAGGACCGACGCGGCAGATTCCTAGGTTTCTGACACTGACGGCTTTGGGAATCCCTGCCTGGAACAAGCCAGACCTGCTGCTGGTAACAACGAGGAAGAAGCCTCTAGGAAAACCTGCTCAAACCAGGCCAGGGTTCGCAACATCTCTATCCTGGCTCCACTGTGCAAAATTCCCAGGACTGAGGGGTGCTCAGGACCTCTGTACATGGGCGGCTCAGGGTCAGATCCTTCTCAGCCTGTTCCTGGGGCTTCAGCGTCAGCACATGCAGCTGTCTGTGCACTGCACACAGGCAGCCAGCAGGGAGCCGCAGCGGCTGACGCCAGCCCGGCCCCTGGGATGGCTGGGAAGAACCAAGGTGCCCTTGAGGGCCAGCCTGTGGTTTGTACAGAAGCCTCACTCCTTCCCCTGCTGAGCTCCTTGCATTTTCCAAAGCACACTGATGAACACTTTCTTTGAGACATAGCAAACAAGACAAGGACGAGGGCACTGAAGACCGTAAAGGTCTCGTGCTTGCTGAAGTCCTGAGACGTGGCCCGGCGAGGGCCTTGCCCATCCCCGTGCTCACCCTGGGTGTATTTGATGATGTTCTCCAGCAGCAGTGGGTACTTGGTGAGCCGCTGCATCTCGGAGATGATGAGGTCGCGGAGCTGCAGCCGCCGGCACTGAGGGTGGCTCTCGGCCTCCTGGACACAAGAATGATTTCAGCTGTGGCTGTGGCTGGCTTCATGCCACACAGGTCCAACAGCAGACGGTCACTCTGAAATGGCGGTGGCAGGGTGCCATCAGCCCAAGGAAGGGGTACGGTTCAAAGAGACGGGCAGGTCTTGTCCGCATTTCGCAGACGAGGACCCTCTCTGGCTGCTAATCCAGCATCCTCTCCAGGTAAGGATCTAGCCCTACAGGGTGCCGTGTGTCACGACACTGGAGGGGCAGGGCAGCCAGGGTGAGGGCATGGCTTAGTCCTCCACAGCCAGAGGAGAGGCGGGGAAATGTGAGGGAGCCAGGGGCCACCGGTGGACTTGCTGGGAGGAGGCACAGCTAGGACGAACCTGCATGAACAGCTGAAAGCGGCTCTCCTTGCGCTGCTTGGTCTTGATCAGCTCCAGGGCTATTGACTGACAGGAGCAGAACTGTGCAGCCACTTGCTGGAGCTCCTCTCGGGCAGGGCCGTCAAACTGAAGGGGCGGCGGACATGGCCCGGCATCACATCCCCCACCGGGCTCCACCCCCGGTCACTCCCACCCGGCTAAACTCCCAGTCTCCACCTTGCCATGGGGGGAAGTGAGCCATACCCGAGCCAGCATGAGGTCACTGACGTCTTTGATGATGGGGCCCTCCTCCCGGAGCCTCTTCATGGCCTCACACCAGGAATCTGGGATGAAGAGAGAAGGTGGAAGCGCCTGCGGTTGGTCCACAGCCCACGCCCTTTGTGATGGAGAGAGGGCCTCTGAGGGAAGTGGCAAGGCTGCGTACTGTGAATCTCTATCAGCTCAGGCAGGTTAGGGAAGAGCCGGGCCAGCTCCTCCCGGGGCATCAGGTTCTCCTTCTTCATTCGCTGGTAGAAGATGAGGTCCAGGACCCGAAGCGTGCGCAGGTGGGAAGCCTCGGTCACAAACAGCTCTGAGAGGCAGAGAAGACAGATGAGCGAGAACCCGGAGTCACAATCTGGTTTGCATGCTGCTCTACTTTGGGGGGAACTGGAGTGCTGGTTTCAGGTCACGCAGCCACTTTTCTCCTCCCTCCAGGCTGAAACTGCGATATACCTCGTCCTGCTGTCCGGGCCCTGGCCCGTCGCCTCCCGCTTTGTGTCCTGGTGCCCTGCACCTCTCCCCACAGACCAGCCCGCAGCGGTGGGGCCCGTTCTCACCGTTGATGACCTCCTGCCGGTCAATCTCCCTCTGGGTCAGCCCGGCAACCATGTCCTTGCCCACGGTGTGCTGCCAGTTTTGAGCATCCGGTTCTGGCTCCAAGTCAGAGAGCTGGCCCAGATCATCCTCTAGGAGGTGGGGAAGGAGGGCGTCTGTGCAGAAGCCCAGGCTGGGGGACTCAATGCTCCTGGGGGCAGATAGGCAGCTCAGCTCCGCTCCTGCCCGGGCAGGCCTTCCCTCGTCCACGGGAAGGGGATGCAGAGACGTGTCACCCAGCTCGCCACCTACCTGCGGCCCATCTTGGGGGTGAAGGGTGGGGTGGGGTTCTCCAGAGACCTGTGGCGGGAGGCAGTGCCGGCTCTCAGAACCTGGGACCCCGCCGCCCAAGCCCCGGTGCGGCAGCCCAGTGTGCCCACCTGGTAGAGAGGCTGGAAGTGGACGACGAGGCCGACTGGTGCAGGCGCGTGGCCTCTGCAGCGGCGTCCATGTCCACATCGCTCCGAGAGCGGGGCACGTTCTCCACCTTCCGGGACCGCTTCATCTCCTCCCGGCCCTTGAGGCTCTCCGAGCGGCCCAGGCGGATCTCTGAGCGCGAGCTGGGGGAGGCCCGGGAAAATCCCGCTCAGCTTAACTGCTGCCCTATCTCAAGGCTGCCTCGGTGGTACAGCTCTGCCCCACCTGCCCCGCACGGCCCAGATGCCCAGTGCAGAAGCTGCTCAGGGACAAACCAAGCTGCCCTTCCTCCTCCCTGTCCCCGCGAGCTCGGTGGCCAGTCTCTCCTCTCCTCCTCATTGTGACCTGCGAGGAAGGGGTCTGACGGGAAGCTGGAACTGGGGCGAGGGGAACCAGACTTGGGGCGTAAGTTGCTGTCAGGGACCAGTCTCACCTCCCTGCGCCTGGGGCTGTCTAGCAGTGGTCACCTGCCTCTGCTCTGCACTGCCATCGCTCTGACTGCTTCTGCTGGGCCCTTTCCTGACAAGATCTTAGAGGGGAGCAGTTGCCCTCCGCACACACCGATTCTAGGATTCTCCACACTGCCTGTTAGAACATTCGACCTCGTGTGGGATTTTGGCCCAGCTGTGAGGATTTTTCCCATTCTTATCTTAACAGCACCCTTCCCAAGCTCCCACTGCCTCTCGAGGGAGCAGACAGGCCGGAGAACGCTTTCAAGGCCTGGCTCTGCCTGCTGTGCCCGACTACTGACTGCGTCCAGAACTCGATGAGAGGCTGCCAAGTGGGTGTAGCCCTCTGTCCTGCAGAGTCCAGCAGTGCATCAGCCCGGACACAGCTGGCACCGGTGACCTCTAGCTGTCCCTGGATGGTGCCACCATCCCCCTGCTGTGGCCCTGTGGGGCTGTTCTTTGGCTGACATTATCACTAATCTACATCCTGCTCTGTTCAGGGACCACAGGAGGCCTGGAGATGTCTGGAGAGCTCTTAACAGCACAGCAGCAGGCTACAGGCGGAAGCAAGGGTCTTGATGGTCATATTCGTCAAACGGTCAGAGAGAGTGGAGCTCAGTGAAGCTCGTCCCCTGCAGGGTGACAACATACTGCCAAGTAGTTCCTCCTCAACTCCCCCTCAGAAACCTGCTACAGCAACCCTAACCCAGATCAATTCAGAACTCTCACTGTCCCTCAGTGGGTCCCGTCAGCACCCCAAGCTTCCCCTGAAGGGTCCCTGGGCTGGAGTTCTGAGGGTCCTGCCTTCTCAACTGGGGTGTTCTAGGCCTGCTGAGCTGCATGACTCCCGACCCGCCTGCCCCAGGATCGCCAGTCAATTTACAAGCATCGAGTCCCACACTTCTGCTGAGAACAGCTTCAGGACCTGGGAAGCCTCGCCAGCTAGGGCGGGTGCACCTGACCAGGTGAGAATGAAGTCTGGGAGAGGCCTCAAACGTGTCAGTGTCGACAACGTCTTCTTCACACGTCCGACGCAGCTAAGCGACCTCAACCACTGCAGCAGTCACAGTGCACGTTTGTTCCCCACTGACCTCAGGACTCGCCTCCTCCCACAGCACCACTCTGATCATCGCCAGTTCTCCTCTCGACACACGCTAAGTTTATAAAGGCTTAAAAGGGAGAGCCCTGTGCTCCAGCAGGGGTGTGTGACCTACACTTCCATACTCACTGTCGGGGAAATGGCCGGAATACTCACTGCTACCCAGCGACTGCCGCCGCTGTGCCTGCCTCGACTCCCGTTTCGGGGCTCTGACTTGTTTCTGCACACAGCACTACTCTCCTGTACACACAGCAACAGCGCTGTACCTCCAGGGTGACCCGAGGGAGCTGCACGGGTATTCTGACTGCAAGCAGTCTTTCAGGGTCGGGCGTAGGCTTTTAGTGACTTGCTGTCAAGCCACACTCAAGAGCAAGTAGGCCCTAGAGCACCCGGCAAGGACTCCAGCTACAACCTGGTGCAGATACAGGTATCAGGTGCCCGCCTCAACTCCCCCTTCTATTTCTTGAAAAGGGAAGTGCAGTGTATTCTGAATCAGTCAGCTGTGCCTCCCTGTGATGAAGCAGACGTCTGATGCCATTACATCGTGCGTCTAACGAGGCCAGCAGACCTCCTCTCTAGCTTCTTCACTGGCAGGTAGATGTTCCTCTTCCTCCTTGTCCGTCAGTGTCCTGATTACCTGCGCATAATACTGCTGGCTTAGTTCTGGGATGGAAGCTACCGGGGAGTAGGAGGTGTCTGAAGGACAACGGTAAAGCCCGCAGCTACCGCAGGGCTCCGCTTGCACTGCCTATGACAACACCCGGTGTCTTCCAGGACCCTCAGGCGGGGAGAAAGTCCCACTGGGGAACTCACGGTCCAGTGGGGGCGGGGCAGCTAGACCCTGCCCGAGCCCTGCGCCCGGGCGGCTGTCACCCATCCAGCCACTGCTACCTGTCACTCTCCAGCAGGTCCTCAGGAAAGCTTCCGGTGGAGAGTCGCTGGGTCCCCGGTTCTGGGGCGTCATACTGCTGGCTGTTCTCAAAGTGCTGAATGATGTTCCTTACATTGCCCGGCTTGACTGTAGGCAAAAAGAAAACGAAGAGCACTATGCTTGTGGTTCCAGGGTGACTTCTCGGGCACTCACTCCCTTCCCGGAAGACAGCAACGAGTAAGCGTGGATGAGAACAGCGCGGGGCCAAGGGCGGGAGATGCGGTCCTGGTTCTGGCTCTCCTAGGACTGCAGAGCAGCCCGGGCAGTCCCTCTGCCTTCTGAGCCTACTCTTTGCTCACGTTGTGAAATGAGAGGGGTCAGAAGCACATCTGCTATGAAGCCCTCTTTGGCTCTCATTCCGCATTACAATAGTGCTTCTGCTTGAAGACCATAACTAGGTTTTTCCTGAGAGCCACACGATGGGCAAAGCCCCCAAAAAACAAAACCCTCAGGAAGACCAAAAACACATCCACACAGAACTGCCAAATCCTATCAAGCATGTTTCACACTTCTATTTCTTTTAAAGTTCATTACTTCTGTTTTTCTCTGACTTTCTTTCCTGTCCTCACTCTGGGACCCTATATCAGGCTCTGGGAGGTGACCCAGGAAGGACAGAGGGCAGAGGCCACTCTCTGGCATTCGAATTCAGCCCCTTTCCAAGCTCATGGATGAGAGTGGGTCTTGCTAAGGGAGAGGAGTGGCGCAGCACGGGAGACCCCGCAGGTCAGGCCTGGGCTACCAGTGCCACCGTGCCTGAGCCTAGCGGGTGGGCTTGGGGTCCACAGAAGCCCTCTAGGGGTTCAGGCCTGGCTGTAGCCACACTCACTCTCTTCAGAGTCGGATACCCACACATACAGACGTGTACTTCATGGTCTCAAAATGTGACTTTCATAGGAACATTTCTAAATCAGAGAGGACAAACGACATTTGGCTATTATCCTGAGTTTACAACCCTACTCCTGAGGCGGGGGCCTGGGCTGCACTTTCCCCAAACATATTCAGGGGCTGTGTGTATGCCTGAGGGACAGGGACTGGCCCACTCGACTCAGTGTGCATCCGGCTATGGGGCCACTATACCAAGGGGGCCCTGAGCCACCCTGGCTGGGGATGACGTGGGAACCCGGGGGCACCCTGTAACCAAAAGCCACCAGGCTGAGTCGCCGTTCCCTCTCCACAGGCCAACTGTTTTTCTGGACAGTTACACAATGGCCATGACATTGGTATGACTGGGGACCTAGAGTAACAAGGGGAAGCGGGCAGAAAGAAACATTTTTTACTAGTAGCTTCTGCTCCCCTTCCTCCGGTCCCTGAATGATAATACACTAAGTAAAAGTGAAGTAATTATGTTGCTAGCGAATCAGACAGAGGTGATGTGACCCTCCAAGTTGAAATGCACTCTACATTGAGGCTTTTCTAGCATTCATAGTTACATGGTTGATCTCCAGATATTGTAAGTGTTTATTTGATGCGGTGAGGATTTGGGAATTTTGAATTGAATCATGCAACCACATGACATGGCCGGACTTGAAGACACTTGTACCCTCATCCTAACCATACCCCGGACATTCCTGTTCCCTCAGAAAAGCCACACAGAGCAGGTTCCCCGGGAGCTGCTTGCTTCACGGCTTGCTGTTGCTCAGGCCTTCCTCGGCAGGGCCGGTGAGAAGTTCCTGCGACCCAGGGCACAGCTAAGTGACAGAATGCTTGCCTCACACTCTCCAAACCTTGGGCTGGAGATATGAGCCTGGATTCCAAGGCTATTCTTTCTTCCTACTGTTTTATAAGACACTTTTGTTGTTATTGTGGTGATACTGGAAATTGAGCCAAGGCCTCAAACTGCGCTGCACTCCCAACACTCACTCCAGTTTCTGTTTTGAGACAGGGCTCCCGGCTCTGTCACCTAGTCTGGTGAACCTTCAATACTTCCTCCGCCGCCTAAGGAACCGGAATTTATCCATGCCATCAAACCTGGTTAAGACAATTATTTTTGTTGCTTTATGGCAGGAGGCTCACAAGTTTGAGGTCAGCTTGGGTAACTGTGCAAGACTGTCTCAAAATAAAAGACGAAAGTGGAGAGGGCTAGGTATGTGGTACATACCAGTAATCCCAGCATTGTGGGAAGATGAAGCAGGAGGATTACAAATTTCAAGCCCAGTCTGGGCAGTTTAGTGAGATCATGTTTCCAAAGCAAAACAAAATAAAAACAAGCCCCCCCACCAAAGCCCTGCAAAAAAGTAAAAAGGCACAGGGATACAGCTCAGCACACAACGGGCTCAATCCCCAGTACTGTAAAAAACAAAACAAACAAAAGATGGCAAGAGGGGCTGGGGATGCTGTTCAGTGGCGCCCTGCCTGCCCGGCAAGCACAAAATGCTGAGTTCGATCCCTGGTACTGGGAAAACAAAAAAACAAACAACGTTGGCAAGGAGGGGCAGGAGTGTAGGGACTTACTATACTCACTAACTTTACAAATACAGTGACTCTGAAGACTGTATTTTATATTGTTACTTTAACACAATGAATTCTAGCTACAGAAGCATTTCCTGACTATTCTAATTACTGTAGAACCTAAAAAATTTTTTTAATTAATTGCATACATATGGACCCCAGTAATGGGATGAGCTTGTCCAGTTCTGTGGCATCTTCGTTTCAGTCCTAAGCTCCTTGTGGGCTCAAGTACACCATTATTTTTATTATAACTGTTTGTTCTGGTAGTGGGGAGAGAGTGCCCAGGGCCTACATGTGCTTGGGATGAGCTCTCCACTGAGCCACACCCACCGTTAGCCCTGCATCACTTGCTTTCTTTAGATTCTAGAAGATGTCAAGACTTCTAAAGTAGTTAGGGTTGTTCTGTTTAACTCGTTCATTCCACAGTGCTGGCAGTCAAGAGCCAAAGGTGCAGGGCATGGCGGCGCACGCCTGTAATGCCAGAACTTGGGAGGCTGAGGAAGGAGCACTGCTGAAAATTTGAGGTCAGTCTGGGCTACAGGATGAGTTCAAAGCCAGCCTGAACTACAGAGCGAGACCTTGTCTCAAAAAACCAAAACAAACAGAAAAAAACCAACCTCTCCAAAAAAGAAGAGCCAAAGAGACAGATGTACTACAGTACACTGAAGAGTTTAAGTAAAGTAGATGATGAAAATAAAAGAAAAACCGAGAGACTCCAAATTTACTAAAAACAAACCAAACCAAACCCACCAAATCCCAAAAAACCCCAAACTCTTAAAAAGATAAGGACTTTGGTTATTTTAGTTGACAACCAAAATCTGAGGCACTCCTGCTTGTGCTCCTGCAGGACACACGGCTTGAGGTTCTCCCTCATCGTACACAGAGCCCCGACTTCCGGGAGCTCGTCCACGGAAAGGCGACAGCCGGAAGAAGGCCGCAGCTCCTCCTGGGGAAAACCGCAAAGGACACGAAGCTCCACCCGCCAGAGCCCAGCTCAGCAGACAAGGCCACCCGCCAGTGTGCGGCAGCAGCCCGGGGTCTGCGTCACAGGGCAGCCAGAGCAACAAGGGGGGACACACGAGAGACATGGAAGAGGGGGGCAGAAGGGGCAGATGAGAGGAGACGGGAAGAGCACGACGGGGCGCGGAGATGGAAACTTAATGATGCTAATGCAGATACACTGAACAAAATAGTCCTTTTACCTTCCACAGGGGACAAGGGAATATGAAATGCTAAAAGAAAAACAAAGAAAAACAAAAGTAAACCATGAAATGTCAAACTGATGTTTCAAGAGCCAAAATAAAAACTACATCAAGCTGGAAAATGAAAAGGTAGTGGCAAAATTCAAGGTGAATCTAGAAGAGGCCCTCCCCGCTCCCCTAATGCAGCCACTGCACAGAGGGCGCCAGGGCCATGCTGCTGTGCCCCAGATCCCCAGTAGTTGAGACTTAAGACACTGACGGCGAGGGCCAGCACCCATACCCAGACACATGGCACACCGCTGGGAAGAGGCCAATGACAGGCTCCGCTGAGTTTTGGGTTTCTGATGACTCAAAGGAACCTCTGGCTTCCAAACTTGCCTTCTACTCACCTAGTTTTTTTTTTGAGACAGGGTCTTGCTATGTAGTGCAGGCTTGCCTCGAACTCACTATGGAGCCCAGGCTGGCCTCGAACTAGTAGTGATCCTCCTGCCTCAGCCTCCCATGTGCTGGGATTACAGGCATGCGCCACCACGCCCAGCTACTCACCTAGTTCTACTTAATAGTCAAATTCCCCACAAAGGGCCCATAATTGTTCCTAAAACTCAGGAGTGCAGGTGAATCCCACAGTGAAAGGAGAGGCAGGGCACATCATCAGGCCGTCTCTGCCCAGGTGAGAACGTTCCTCCACATCATGGCTGACCAGTGGCACAGCGGGCCCGGAGTTCCCTTTCCAAGACCTACAGGAAGGCCAGGCCCCCTGGGCTCAGAAACATCCTCTGCACCTCCGACCGTGCAAGAGAGGGTGTGGGAGCAGCAGCAATGCAGAGGAAGCTGCGGTCTCACCCAGGTGTGGGACTGGGGCTCCCAGAAGCACAGAACGCCCCTCATCAACACACTGGGAAGGGCTGAGGGCTCTGCTCAAGGATCGCCTGAGGCTGCTGCTTCCGAAATACTCACTGCTCTGGGAGGAGCTTTTGGGCTTCCCAATGTATTTGAGGATGGGGTTTCGCTTCTTGTCCTCCAACACATCCTTTTCCTTCTTGGAATTGCTGCTCTGCTGAGACAGGAGACGTGGGGGTTTGGAGGCGGCCTTGACCCCCAGACATGGCTGCTCATCACTCTGCCCCTGCCCCAGGACTGGCCCTGAACAGCAGCTGGAAAGCTGACTCGCGCTTCTACCCCAATGAGCATGCTCGCCCCTGGCCAGAAGACTGCTCTACTCCGGGGTTCTCCCTGACCAATCCCAGGTGGAGGGCGGCAGCCAGAGAGCTATGAGACGGCCCTCTTGGTCCGCCTCCGGGCGGAGAGCTGCTCCCAGGGAAGAAGCTGTGCTTCAGGGTAGCTGTCACCTTCTTGGTTTTAGGGAAGAAGGGCAGCCACTTGTCCTTGTCAGGGGCAGACTGGGACTTCTCGGCTGTGTTGGATGGCCGCGCCTCCCGAAGACGGATTCCAGCGTGGCTCATGTAGGTATTGAGGGCGAAGTCCATGGGGGCACTGCGAGAGAGATCAGCATCTTTACCAGGAAAGATCGCTGTGTTCTCCGCCACTGGGGAGAAGGGCCAAACACTGCTCCAAACAACCCCATGCAGCCACCTGGGGAACAGGGTGAGTGGGTAGGTTTGGGTCACAGTATTCAAAGGGAAGCTGGAGTAATCAATGTGAGGGCAGGCAGACACAAGCCCAAAGTTTTGGCTGGTACAACTCCTATGAGATATCTTCTCTAAGCAGAACTCTTTTTTTGGTACTGGGGATCGAACTTGGGTCCTTGCACTTGTGAGGCAAGCAGCGGAACCACTGAGCCAAATCCCCAGGCCCAAAGCAGAGCTCTTATCAACGAGAGGATGGTGGCCATGAGTTCCCTGAAGTGTTAGCAGTGACTGGCCGGGTGAGCCCTGGTAGATGCAGGGCTGGTTGAGGCCTGCAGCTGGCATCCGCAGGCATACACGCCGTGGTTTAGCAGGGGAAGGAGAAATGCCAAACGTATACTGCTGTTACCGCCCCACCCCGAGGAGTAAGGCGAGGACAGAGGAACTGTTCAGGAGCGTCCAACACCACAGATGACACCGTCCAGAGCTCAGCTTAGAAACACTGCAATCCCACAGGCAGACTGTCCACTCTGCGGAGTGAGTGAGTGTGTGCTGAGGGTGTGCAGATGCATTTTAACATCAGCAAATGAGAGAAAATGAGGTTAAGTATACAGAATGCAAAAAAAAAAGTGAGTGCCAAGAGGAAGTGCATTATACCCGGCGGCCCTGTGCGAGTGCTATGCACACAGGCTGACTCTGATCACCACCACTTCTGGAAACAGCGCAGGCCAAGAGGTGGGGTGGGATGCACAGGGCTCCCCGGGGTGCAGAAGGGGAAGCAGTTGTGGGGTGTTAGCCGCAAGGGCAGCCTGGTGCCTTACAGTGAGGAGCAGACACCAGGGCCTGCATCTCACCAGGCCTGCGTGTTCCTTTGCTTGTGTCACCTGGGTGCCACCTATGCACGGTTCACGGCCCTACCACACCGGGGACTCCCTCGCGGGGTGGAGAAGGGAAGCACAGACGCTCAGTCCCACTCGTCCAGTGCGAAAGCTGCAAGGGAACCACCACGAACTCAACTCACCTCCTCTCTTCCTCATACTTGGACCTGAAACAGAAGAAAGAACAGTGACCCAGGCTGGGAGGCTGGGGGGAAGGTTGCTGGGGATGGGAGGAGCAGAAGAAAAGGTCGGGCTCAGACTCCTGGTCACAACTGAGCCAGCGTGAGGCTCAAAAGGAGAGTCCCTCCCTCAGGGAGCTCAGCTAGCAGGCTGAGGGTCGTGACAACGACACCCTTCGAGCTAAAACAGAGGGAGAGGCAGGGAGATGCTGTTTCGGCGTGCAAAGGTATTACATGGGAAGAGGCTCCCTGGGACTGAGTTAGAAGGGCTGTGCTAACCTGGAGGCTGGGGAAAGAAGACAAGAGCCTTGACCCAAAGGAACCTATCTCAGAGGGGCATTCAAAGAGCGACCAATCGGTGACTGCAGGACAGGCACTCTTCTGAGCTGTTTACGTGCATTAACCTCAGACAGCCACAGGAAAGCATTCCATCCCCATTAGTGAGACCAAAGCCTCACTGCCTTCAACAGAAACCACTACAAGCTCCATGCTTGTGCCGCCAGTGGTCACGCTTCTGCTGTCTGATCTCAAAGCAGGCGGTCAGATCTGGGCTCCTCCACTCCCGGAGCGGCTGGGTGATAAATGCTATCTGAACACTCAGGGAAAACTAAGGCTCAGGAAGACTCAGGGCCTGGCTGAAGGTCAGAGGGTTCAGTTCTCAAAACTATGCACTTGGCGTGGTTTCTCATCAGACGGCAGATTCCCACAGGCAGCGGCTTCCTCAAATTTCCAGTTAGATGGCCCAAAGAAACCCCAAATGTAACACACCCACACCTGCGCCCGATTCCCTACCACAGAGCTGCCCCTGCCATCTGTCTGTCTCGGCTGGCCCAGCCCGTCCCACGCTGGGCCCCGCCTTGCCTCACACAGCTCTCCCCTAGCGCCCACTCATCGGGAGAGCGCATCCTCCGCTCCCAGAACTCCTGATTTGTAACACACCACATGGTTCTCTTATTTATTACACCCACCGCAGCTATCTCCACAAGGGAAAGAACCGCTGTGTTCACTAGCACCCTCAGGAATGTCCTGTGCAGAAGTGTTTGGAACACAGTGGGAATGCCACTGATGTCTGCCAGGCTGCCGGCTGAGGCTGTCATGATCTAGGCCAGCGATGGCGAACCCCTTGGTGTTCAATGACACACACAGCTCACTGCGGCACGCCTGCATAGGTTTGCCATCACGGATGCAGGTCAGTCCTGTCACTTTGTTGATGAGGACCAGAGAGACGGATGGGCTTGACCAAGGTCATGTAACCATGCAGCAAGAAGCAGTACTGGGGTGAGAGACTGCCTGTGTGACGCTTCAGAAAACGGGCCTGAAGAGTGCAGCAAAGGCAGCTCTTCCAGCCCTGGAGGGTGTTTGGATTGTCTCCTGTCAGCCAGTGCGAGTGGCCCCTAAAAGGAGCCTTATCCCCGGAGCCTGGGAGCACTGGTCTCTCTCAGCCTCAGACACGACCTCAGAGGTAGGAGGAAGGGAGGTCAGGAAGAAGGCTAGAGAGCCAGGGATTTAGCTCAGTGGTTCCGTGGCCCACCTTATAAGTGCAAGGTCCCAAGTTCGACTCCATTACTATAAAAAAAAGAAGAAGGAAAAAAAAGAAGTCTACAAGGGAAGCAGGAGGGTCACGGTGTCACAGGAGCCACGGCTTGTCATAACCACCAAATGACTGCCAGGCACTCCAGGCCTCGCAACCCCTTTCAACGGTGGCCCTCAGCCTGGGAGATGCAGCAGGACCTGGCTCTCCTTCTCAGGGATGGAGAATAAGGCAAGAAGCAGAAGCAAGGAGAGGCTGAAAACAGGCCTGCAAGGTCGCCTACCTATCCAGCACGTTCAGGGTTGGGAGAGGGACTCAGACTCACAAGATGTCTCCAAGGGCGGCCAGCTGCTTCTCGGCCACTTGGCGCTCGCGCTGAGTGTCCCTGTCCAGATCCAGCAGGTCATTCTCACCATAGAGGCTGCCCAGCCCGAGGGTACGCTTTGTTCTGCACCAACGACACACACAGTGGGGCAGGTGTATGTTCACGCCGCGCGAACCCGAGTGCGGCAGGTGTATGCTCACTTCGCGCGAACCCGAGAGGCGCAGTGGGGCGGGCAGCAGGGCAAACCTGTAGTCCTGGATCTGCTCCTGGATCTCTGGCATGGCTGCCTCCTGAGCTTCGCAGAGGGTGGTGCGGGCATCCTCACCATTCCGCAAGCGCAGGTCTGTGGGCGGAGCCCAGGGAGGCTGATGAGGGGCTGAGGGTGGGGGGGAGGGGTTGGGGCGGGGTCGCTTCTGCCAAGCGTCTCAGGGGTTTCAGCTCCCTGTGAGCCTGGGAGGAGGCGGCTTTCTGCCCCATCGGCCTAAAGGAAGTGGGGGCCTGGACTCCATTGAGGTTGTTTCTGAACTCAGGATGAGACTTGGGATGTCCAAGGCCCAAGTCAGGGATGCAAACATATTCCACGTTCCCTTAGGAGGAGAAACGCCAATGCCCGCTGACTGGCTGTGACCAGTGCTGTCCTCTGCCTTCAGTGTGCATCTTGGGGGCTCATTCCCTGCCACTGACCCAGGGCTAGCTCAGGGTTGAAAAGGCAAGCGTGAAAGACTGCAAGAAACTGAGAGGCGCCTCCCCTCCTGGCCCCAAGCCTGGCCACTCAGGTTCTGAGCAGGCTCCCTACACCCTGCCGTTTGGGCCACAACTCGCCTCCTTCCAAATGCAGCCTGCAACTTCTAGCCTCTAAAAGGCACTGGCTTTGGAGGCTGCCATCCCCTTTGTGCTGGCTCCTGCCAATTCTTCTGGAATTGGAAAGAGCTATGTATTCACCCAGTCTGCTGGGGCCTTGCTCTGGACCAGCTGCCGTCACGATTCATTAGTGAACTAGGAAAACAAACTACAAAAATCCCAAACTCCCCATATCAAAATCAAAACCAAAAGCAAAATACAAAAACCCCAAACACAAACAAACAAACAAAAAAACCCCAAAACCTGCTCCAGAGATTATGACTTTGCAGGTGGGACAGAGCAAGGCCCCGGTCTCGTACTTTTAGGAGTTCCCTAAGGGATTCTAATGATTGGTCTGGCTTACGAATCCCTGAGTCTAGTTCCTGTTGTTTTTTTCTTGGATTTTTTGAGACAGGGTCTCCCTATGTAATCCAGGCTGGCCTTGAACTCACTGCGTACCCCAGGCTGGCCTCAAACTCACAGTGATCCTCCTGCCTTAGCCTCCTGAGTGCTGTGATTATAGGTACGCACCACCACTCAGCCCTTTTTTTGTTTTTTGTCCATTTCCTCTTTGTACTGAGCCCACTGAGGCCCAGAAAGGGCACAGGAAAGGTCAGCAGAGAGCCCAGGCGTACTGGCTTGCCCACCACAGGCTCCACCAGGCAGAGAGAAAGAATGTCCTCCGGTAGGGCCCGTCCCATAAAGCCCCTGAGAAGCGCTTTCACAGTGCCGGGGGACAGCTGCCCAGGAAGAGGTACGTCTCCTCTGCTCGCTGGAGCCTTCTGAGCGCTCGGGACTGAAGGCACCAAGAGCAGACGAGCTGGCCCGACTCACCGATGTCAGCCTGCAACATCTCCGGGACCTTCACACGGAGAGGCTGCAAGACACGAGTGGGGTGGAGGCAGTGAGGGCTCGTGTGCCAGGGGACAGGCAGGCTCGACAAAGTGCCCTGCCCTCCCTCTTCTGCCTGTTTTCCAGTGTGGTGTGGGGATGAACCGGGGTAAGCCTTTCTATTTGCCTGGGTCCACCCTCCTCCTCTCTTCTCTCTCCACTGTACGCCCCCATTCTGGGCCAGGGGTTTGGGAGATGGAACCTGAGGCTGCAGGGCAAGCTGGGACTGCATCCTCAGGGTGTCAGGTGCATGGGAAGGGCATGTGATTCCAAAAAGCAGGCTGCAGGTTATTTGGCTGGGAGAAATAAATGCTTGCTAGGCTATTTGAAGGACTCCTCCCCATCACTTCAAAGGGAAACTGGCCGTATAGCACCTAGCTCTGTAGTTAACATGGTGTTCTGGCTTCTGCTGCATGAGTCTCGGACGCCAGGACACCTGAGTGGCTCCGCAACCAAAGAGCACCTGGCAGCTGTGACCTCCTCACCGAGAGCCACTTATGGGAGTGAATATAAAAATACGGGAGGGCCAGGGATTTAGCTCAGTGCTTCCGCCACCTGCCTTGCAAGCACAAGGGCCCGAATTTGATCCCCACAAAACATGGGAGATCAGTTTTTCTAACCTTATTGGCCCAAGCAGCTTACTGCTGGAAGAACAGCCATTCTAGAATGAATTTAGCTGATTGGATTGGAAGTCAGGATGGAACCGACTTCTGCAGCAGCAGCCTCTGCTTGTGTCGGCCCATACAGCCTGGAGCCGCGTCTGGATGACAGTGGGCTCCTGTGCCAGACCTATAGGTCCTCCCGACTCCAGTCTCTGGGCAGCGAGAGCGAGTCGGCCTCAGAAACCCAGGTGTACCTTCGTTTACTTACTGGATCATCCCTGCTTATTTAACCAGGGAGGGGCCAGGGAGACAGGGCTGGGGGAGTAACGAGAACTTGGTGCTGTCTCTGAACATTCTGGGGAGAGGCAATACGTATATTCTATATGTGGAACTAAAGAGATATATAGAGGAGGTCGGGACAGGCAGCAACAGCATCCAGAAATCGCAATCTCTCAACCTAGATGTCTCTTTAAAAACTTGTTTCCATATGGGAAGAAAGGAGCTAAAGGTGTAGGGAAGGTGGGATGGGTAGGGGAAGGGTAATAAGGGAAAAGAAAAAAATGTGAGATAATGAAAAGATGAAAATAAAGTGTTTGTAGATAGGGAGGGGAGGAGGGGGTGAAGGGAGGGCAGGGGTAAGGGGAAAAAATGAGAATCAAGACCTGTCATGTAGAGGTACAAGATCCCAACAATGAATGTAACTGTAGTGTATCCCTAAAATGTACCAATAAACTCAATTAAAACTGAAACAAACAAACAAACAAACAAACAAAAAAAAACTTGTTTCCATTTGGTCTGAACGCTCTGCTTAGTTTTCCCTCTGGCTGAGTGGTCCAAAGAGTAGAAGAAATTATAATCCAATGCACGACAGCCTTACCGCATTTTTTTCTAGGAAAATATTCCAGATGTCCTTTCCCAAGCTCCGGGAATCCTTGGGGTTTGTCTGCTGATAAACTTCTACACACAAGTAAAAAAGCTAGGAGGAGAGAGGAACTGGGTTAGAGCAACGGTACTAGCCAGGGGCGACTTAGCCCCAGCAGACGTTCAGCATTGTCAGGAGGTTTTTAGTTGTTACAGCTCTGGGAGGTGGGTGCTCCTGGTATTTAATGGGTGGGGTCCAGGGATGTGGCTAAAAATCTCAAAATGCACAAGACAGGCTACCACAACAAGGTCTTCTCAAGTCTCTAAAGAGAGCAGTGCCGAGCTCAGAAACTCAGTGAGAACATTCCAGAACCTGCAGTGAGGTAACCTCCACCTTCAGGGTCGATGCTCCCCACACCGTACCCTTCCATGCTCACTATTACTTGTGTCCTGCACCCGCGTACACCCTGTTCTATGAGGGCTCATGCTGCAATTCGCTTTGTGATGTCCCCCTGTTTTTTAGAAACGTGTCTGAGACAGCACTCGGGACTCACACGTGGGTGTTCAGTGAACCCATGTGGAGCGAATGGATGTTTATTGTGACTGCTGACCACTGCATCCCCACAAAGACAAGCAGCAGCCTGCAGCCTGGCAAGAGGCTGTTGGAGAACACAACAGCAACCCTCTCCTCAGCCCACCTTCCTCTCTAAGCAGCGGGGCAGGAAAGGAACAGCACCAGCCCCAGACCCGTGGGCTCCACACCCCAGACGCCTTCTGCCGTTGCCTGAAGATCCGAAGTCCCTTCTGCCAGCTTTCTTGTAGTAACGCTGCTATTTGCAAGGGCCATTCCCTCAACTCCCAGTCATCTGTATCCACCTTTACTACTTTCATTCAGAAAACTCAGATTATTCTCCCCAGCAAGACTTCCCAAACTGATCAAGCATGACAGAGTTCCTAGCCTAGCTCTTACCACTACTTTTTTTTTTTTTGGTACTCTGGGGATCGAACTTGGGTCCTTGGGCTTGTGAGGCAGGTGGTGGAACCACTGAGCTAAATCCTTGGCCCATGCCACTACTTTTTTTGAGACAGGGTCTCATTATGTAATTGGGGCTGGCCTTAAACTCATGGCGATCTTCCTGCCTCAGCCTCCCCAGTGCTGGGATTATAGGCGTGCGCCACCACACCCAGCATCTCGACACCACCGTGGACCCTTGACCTGCAAGCTCAATTCATTCCTGAGGGCTGGTTGTAACTCAAGTTGGTCAATTGAAGGCTCAGGCTCCTCTATAGAACAGCCATCAATGTCTCTCTCCTGTACACAGGCAGATCTCAGTGTCTTTAGAGATGCTGGCTCAGGATTTCTCAGTGAACCCCACACAGGAAAGGATGCTGTGATGTTCCTTCCAGAACTCTGTATGGGTTCAATCTGTGTCCGAGACCATCTGGAAACATAAGTGACTCCCATTTGGCAGACTCAAGACTTTGTTCGTACGTTAAGATTAAAATTCTGATAGTAACCCAGGTTGTTTGTATATCATGCTGGCCATAACTGGAGGGTCCACGTACTTCCTAAACTACTGATGTATCAGTTTCTGGTAGCATTCCTCTGCTTTCTGCACTACCTGTCCTTAGATGTGCGCCTATGCCCATGGATATGACTAATACTAGACAGCTGGAGATCAGGGACAGGGGCCAGAGATTCGCTCTGCTAAGAAGAGCACGCTCTCAAACAACACCGACGCCGCGGACTTACCAGTGGACTGGGGTCGGCCTGAGAGAAGATATAGCGGAGGAAAACCGCCAGGTGAGCTGGGCGGGACTTCAATTTTTCAAGATCCTGGAAGATGACGTCGCTCTGGAAGGCAGAAGCGGGAGAGTGGCCGGCGGCTCGGGAGCAGGAGACAGTGGCACAGCCTGCTCCAGCTCTGCTCCCACGCTGGCCTCCCTGCAGGCGAGTCCCACACTCCCCTCACAGCTGTGCCACCCAGACTGCTTCGGGGCAAGGGTGGTGGGTGCGACAGGACAGTGATGAAAGGAGAAATCCCGGAAACCATTACCTCGTTGTTCAAATAACCCGGGTCATAATCTTCCTCTGGGCCAATAATCAAAGGCTTTGGGCTTGGATCTACACCCTGGGGAAGAGAGTCAAGTTGTAGAGATGAGAGGTTACCGAGGACAGGGACTCCACCTCTTCAGGATGAGCATTCTGGTCTGCTTAGTAACAGTATCGCACTCACAAAGAAAGGCACTGGGTCTGGTGGAGTCTGGCATCTCACCGCCACCCTCTGATCTCAGGGCAGATGCAGTGATTCCCACTTGCAAGAAGCCAGTGCTCTGGTGAGCACAGTGGACTCATGACATAGCAGTCACATGACACAGCAGGATGGGAAATAAGAGAAAGTGCTCTCTTCCTGTTTGCAAAGGATCTGGGAAGGGAATGTCAGCCAGCAAATAAAAGCCTACAGCTCCTCCTGGACTGCTGGGATGGAGCTCTGCTAAGCCACACCTGCCAAATCTGGTGCCTGCCATGGCGTCCCTGTACAGCTGGACACCTACCAAGAACCGAAGGCTCACAGACCCAGGAGAGGATCCGTCTCTTCCTGAACAAAAGATAGAACAGATCTTTTCCAAACACTGCTCAAGAATCTATGGTAGGTCCCTATTAACTGTCAAAATCCAAACTTCTTAGCCTGACTTCTTTATTTTTCCCCGTATGTCAATTTTAAAAATTTATTTATTTAGTTAGTTAGTTTTGGTACTGGGGATCGAACTTGGGTCCTTGCACTTGCAAGGCAGGCAGCAGAACAACTGAGCTAAATCCCCGGCCCTCCCTTATGTCAATTTTAATAAAAATTTAATTCTAATTGACTTGCCACTGGTCACTTAACACGTTCCTGCCAGACTGAACCACCAGGGCTCCGTACACAATGGTCCCACCAGGGGGCTTGTGCAGTTGGCAGTCGTGCAGTCGTGCATGGAACTGTCACACATGTACTCCCGATGGTTCAGGTCATGTGGCAGTGAGACATGCAAATTACAGTCCTGTCGTGAACGTGTTAAAAGAGAGATTTCACACTGCTCGTACTTTTCAGATACTTCACGGGACCATCTCTCCTAAAAGTCCCTTGAGGTTTTTCTTAAAGACCTAAATCTTTTCTACAATTATATTTCCCCTAGACTGAATGTCTCTCATTTGCAGGGGCTTCCACAACAAGGGCTCTGCTCTGGAGCTCACCCAGGTTACTCACACCTGTCTTCCTGCAGGTCTGGGCTGCGGCGCTCTCCCTGACAGCTCCTCGCTCCCGTCTGTTCTCCTGGATGGTCAGCAACTCTACAGCCCGAATGACTGTATCATACAACATGCGAGACCCACAAAGTATCGCGGAGATTAGAGTCTCACACGCAGTTATAATCGAGAAAAGGGAGGCACAGAGAGACCTACTGCCTGCTGTGAGCTGCAGCCAGGGCTGCTGTGCCATCCGCAGGCTTTGCAGACATGCCCAGGCTCTGAACCCCAGGAACTGCTGAATGAGTACTTCTGGCTCTAGCTTGCTTTCTAGTGAAAAGCACCCCCAAAAAAAAAAAAAAAAAAAGAGTAGGTATTTTCTTGTATAAAGGGATGATTTTTAAGGTCTTCACAAATACATTTTTTTTTTCAGATTACAAAAGTAGAGTATGTACTTTATTTAAAAAATCAAACCCAAACTGGGAGCGCACGCTTGTAATTCCAGCACTTGGGAGGCTGAGGTAGGAGGACTGCCATTTTGAGGCCAGCCTGGGCTACATAGTGAGACCCTGTCTTCAAAAAACCAAAACAAACAAGGAAACAAAAAGACACAAAAACAACAACAAATCAAACTTTATAGAATTATTAATAATAATCAAGATGTGATAAGTACATGAACCAACTCTCCATGAGAAATGTGGGCATTATATACTACAAACATGTACAAAAACCAAAACAAAACAACAACAACAACAAAAAAAAACAGAAACAGAAGAAAAGAATTACATCACAGAAAGCAAAAGTTTCCCATGTTTTCATCCTCCTGCTGCCGACAGCTTCTTGGACAGTATAGGTTTTTCCCTTATGTTTTTATTAACATAAGATAGTGGGGCTACATTTGTTCTTACACACAGAAAGATATTTGAATAGTTTCTGGAGGATGAACAAATTCAGAGGTAAAAAGGGACCCTAAAATAATTTATTTCCTCCATTCCTGCTCCTGTTAACCCTTCTGAGGAAAAACTTTCCCGTGGAAGAGGATGTAGGCCCACGCTCTTCCTGCATCCTGAAGTTGGTCTTCAGTTCTGCAGAGGGGACAGGAGGGCTGGGCAACTCTGGTTGGAGATGAAGGAACCTTGTATCGGGGCTCGGCAGAACCAAGCTGTAGTTCCGACTCTGCCAGTAACCAGCAGAGTCCTTGGACTGTTCCTTATAGCCTCTCTGCCTCAATTCCTCATTTACCACATGGAGATTCTATGAGCCACCTTCTTTCTTGATTGAGAATCAAATGAGACTTTCTGTAAAGGGTGCCATCCAGCCAAGGGGATACGGGTATTTACACGTTAGATACCTTCCCTTTGCCATACTCCCATGGAGAAAGCAAGAGTATCAAGTACATTCTTGTTTCGTTTTTTGAGACAGGGTCTCGCTACGTGTAGTTCAATTCACTAGGTAGCCCAGTCTGGCCTCAAACTTGTGGCAATCCTACTCCTGCTTCAGCCTCCTGAGTGCTGGGATTACAGGTGTTTGTCACCGTGCCTGGCTGTACCACAGTTCTTGATTAGAATTTTTTTCCTTTGGTACAGTATTGGGTGTTAAACCCAGAGAGTAGATTATATCCCTAGCCTTTGTAGATTTTGAGACAGGCTCTCAAGTTGCCCAGGCTGGCCTCAGCCGTTGGAGTGCAGCTGGGAACACTGGCATGTACCACTACTCCCGTCTTCCGCTGGAGAGAGGGCAGGGTCGGGCAGCATTCTGGGGAAGGTGTTTGAATCTGGGACTCAGAACAGCTGTGGATGGCTTCATTTTAGGGTTCCCAAGGTTCCACTCCCACACTGGCCGGGGGGGTGGGGTGGAAAGAGACCCCTGAGGAGTCGCAGATCTGGCTGGGAGAGACACGGGCAGAGGCCAGATCTGGCTTGCGTTGCTAGGGGTTTGGGAGCGTTGGCACTAAGTACTGGGATTTTGGGCCTGACTGTCTTCCTTATCTACCATGTGAGGGGGACACACCTCGGCTTGGACATTGCCCCCCTTGGGTAAAAAGAGGGGCTGCTGGAGTGGGGGACCTCAAAAAACTATGTTCCTTAAGGCTGGGTGGAAAATCCAAGAATTGCTATACTCCAAAACTGCGAACCATGGAGGGAAACCACTCTTTCAGAAACATAGAGAAATGGTTTTTTGGTTTCCTTTCTTCTTTACTGGCTTATTGGGGTTTGGGCAATCTTCCTTGGCTTTTCTTTTTCTTATTTTTTCCCCTTTTTTTTGGAGTCAGGGTCTCACTATGTAGCCCAGGCTGGCCTCAAACTCATGGCAGTCCTCCTGCCTCAGCCTCCCTGAGTGCCGTGATTACAAACATGTGCCACCAGGCCTGGTTCCCTTTTTCCTTTAAATTTTTATTCTCCATATTATTTTTTCTTTTGTCTTCTATTTCTCACTTTTCCCCTATTACCTTTACTTAATTCTATAAATATCCTTCTAGTTCTAACAGGATTTTTGTCTCACTTCTCTCTTTCTCCTCTCCTACAGCTTAGGTTTTCTTCTTGCTTTCTCCCATTCTCAGCCCCTACATATTTAATTGTATAACCATTAAGATTTGCTTTGGTTTTTTTTAGTACTGGGGATCGAACTCAAGACCTTGTGCTCGTGAGGCAGGTGGTGGCACCACTGAGCTAAATCCCTGGCCCTAAGATTTATTAATATTTAAATAGTTAGCTCTATATAATTGCAGTATAATTCTTTTCCACTGTTAGTGGAGTGGTAGTTGTTGGGTTTGGTACACACTTGCTGCATGTCAGTGTCTGGGTGTTTCAGTGTTTATGCTGCACCTGTGGATTTCTTTTCTATGAATAAGGCTGGCACATCATTGGTTCTTATAGTATGTCAACATTCAACTTGTCTTGGAAAATAGTACTGCAGCTGACCTGCTTGACACTGTTAGGGCCACATAATTATTGCTATTAATGGTTTTTTCTGTATTCCAACACCTGGATTACCTTTGTGACATTAACCATATTGCAGTCCATTCCCAGAGAACTGGGAGTTAGGCACCTTGTACTACATTTTCCCCTTCCAAATTAACAGAAATGCTTGGATCTTGGGGCAGAGGCAGAGGACTATGGTTAGCTATGTTCAAAGTGCATCACTGAAAAGGCTAACTAAAGAGATCTCCAGGGCCGGGGATTTAGCTCAGTGGTTCTGCCAACTGCCTCGCAAGTGCAAGGGCCTGAGTTCGATCCCTGGTACCAAAAACCAACCAACCAAACAAACAAACAAAATGCCTCACAAAACTCCCAACTTCCCCAAAGCAATTCCAGAGGGCAATGAGGGGGAGAATAGCAAAAGCCACAATCCAAACTATTGGAAAGGATAAAAGAGGATTAAAAAACAGATCAAACGTCACAGAAGCTATAACTATGATAATGAAGCAATAAGCAAAATGATCAGGGAATTTTCAAAAAACACTAATAAAAGCTAGCTGAGGGCTGGGGGTTTAGCTCAGTGGTTCCGCCACCTGCTTGGCAAGGGCAAGGACACGAGTTTGATTCCCAGTACCAAAAAAAAGAAAAAAGAAAAAGCTAGATAAGTTAGACAAAATGATACAACACATGAATGACACGTTTAGCAAAGAATCAGTCTATGAAAAGGTCCATCAGAAATCTAGGAAATTAAAGGGGCCGGGGATCTGGCTCAGTGGTTCTGCTGCCTGCCTCACAAGTGCAAGGTCCCAAGTTCAATCCCTGGTACCACACACAAAAAAGAAGAAATCTAGAGATTAAAAATTATACTGAAAGTCTGGGCAGCAAAAGTGACCAGCATAAGGACAGAATTTCAAAATGAGAAGACAGGGATGCTTTCAAGGCAGGTGTAGCACCACTGAGCTAAATCTCAGGTAGGAATGCTTTCAAA